GACAGAAAGCTTGCCACTGCTTGATTTTTCTCTTTGCTCCAAAGCAAATTTTGCTATTTTTTTCTTCTTTTAATTGACTTTTGAGTTTTGTTATATAAACCTATTGTTTCATGTGTTAGAAAATGCAGACATTCCATTAGAAAAACCTTTAGTCTGTGTCCCATTTGTATTTTAACTCAACTGTATTATTTACATTTATTTAAAGAGTATGCTTAGCAAGTAACATCCATCTTTATATCGGTTTAGTTAATTAAAAATAGCTAGTATTTATTAAAAAGTTGGAGAATTGTGAAATATTTTTTCTATGGTAGATATTATTCTTGATTGCTAATTCACTTTTTGCTGACATAAATTTAGCTTCCCTTTTATTAATATTGGGAATAAAAGTTAAACAAAATTCAGAGTGATATGTTTTATATTTGTACTTTTAAAATTCTTTACTCAGTTTTGTAGGCTTAACAGTTTGTCAGTGTTTGAATGAATGACAATTCAAAGTAAGAATCATTTTCCTATGCAGTTAATTGCCATAATGGATTTTTAACAACATATAACAGATATTTTATATATTGTAGTGAGAATCATAAAGTTTAGGAATGTTTGTACTACAGAATGATGTTAAGTAAGTAGTTCTAAAGCAGAAATAATGTGTATGTGTGTGTTTGTATGCATGTCTATGTTTGTCTATGTCTGTATACATAATGCTATGGATTGAATCCAAGAGCTCATGCATGCTAGACAAAATTTACCATCTAAGCTACATTCTCAGCCCCAGTTTAAAAACAAACTGAAATTGAAAATACATATGAACTTTATAAGTTGAATACTCAATCAACTCACTTTCTTATGAAATAATATTTTCTTTTTGGCAAGTCTTTTTCTTTTTTTCTTTCATAAAAGCCATCCTAGACACTGTCAACTCAGCTATAAGAATTATTATTTAAACTATATATCTAAGCTAGCTGGTAGTGACACATGGCTTTAATGTCAGCACTTGGGAGGTACTTCTAATTTTGAGGCCAGCCTGGTCTACAGAATGAGTTCCAGGGCTACAGAGAAAAATCCTGTCTCAAAACAAACAAACAAAACTCCCTAAAACAAATCAAAACAAAACCGACCAAACAAAAAACCAAAGACAAAAAACAAATTAAACCGTAAAAATTACAGGATGAGTCGTAATGAGTTAAATATACTACAGTCTCTGCTGCCACAGAGTCCAGTGAAGTTCGGAGAAACAGCGTCTCTTTACAAGGCTATTACAGTAAATTACAAGCCAGGATTACAGGGTAGAAGCACTTACTCAGTAAAAAGTACATAGAAGAGCTTCAGGTGGAGGTCCAAATGTTGAACAAATGGCAGAGAAATGTATCCCATGATTGTAGTTCTAACTCAATTTTAATTAAAGTTAATTAGTTGTTCTATAAAGTATTTTAAGAAAATTAGAATATTGAATAAAAGTACTCATATGTAAAATACAAGTAGCTATTCTTTGTATTACTATTGTATGTATGCATTTAAATAATTATTTTGTTTTAGCAATGTCAAAGCAATGAACATTTGAATTGCATATAACATTTACCTAATTCCAATTTATATCATTCAGTAAATAGTATATAGATTGATTGTAATCCATTTAAAAATTAATTCTGTTTCCTAACTCATAACTTTGAAAAAGCTTATGACATATTTGTAATCTCAATAAACTGAGTCAATAAGGTAGCAGCAACTACAGAGTGATACCCTGTCTTCAAAAACCAGAGGGGGGAAAAAACCCGAGGAAAGAAAATTTGAAGTCATACTTAACCTTTGAGCATGTAGCTTCATGTTAGTGCCTGTGCAAAGTCCTGGTTCTAGAACAGCAAAATAAGACCAAGCATTAGTCAAATATGTGAATTTTGTGTAATTTCATTTTATTTTCTGTTGAAAAGAATGCTAATATATGAACTTAATAATACAAAAATATATGAATTTGCATAATTAAAAAATCACAGTATTATTCAAGTCAGTTGGCTTTTGTTTTCCTTTTTGGTTATTTTTGAACTCTGGATTTTCCCTTCATAATTTAGAATTTTTGTTTGTTTGCTTCTTTTTGAGACAAGGGCTTACTTACTGTGTAGCCTTGACTGGTCTGAAGCTGCCTGTTTCCCAGGTTGACCATGAATTCACTGAGATCTGCTTGCCTCTGCCTTCTACAGTCTGGGATTAAATCATGGGCCACCATACCTGGCACTTTCAATCTCTGTCTCTGTTTCTCTCTCTCATAGGGTCTAGAGAGATGGCTCAACTATTAGGAGTGTTCATTGCTCTTAGAAAGGATACTAGCTTGGTTCCCAATATTATGTTAGCAGTTTACAACTCCAGCTCCAGGGGAGTCAGACACCCTCTTTTGCCACCTTGGGATCTTACATGCAAGTGTGCATACCTACATGCAGACACACACATAAATAGAAAATAAAATAAATAGGATCTTGTTTGAGGCTGCCCTTGAAATCAGGGTGCTTCCCCACCCTCCTCCCAGCCTCCTGAGTGCTAGGATTAAGGCACATACCATGGGGGTTAGAGAGGTGGGCCAGAGGTTAAGAGCACTGTCTTCTTTTCCAGAGGTCCTGAGTTCAATTCCCAGCAACCACATGGTGCTTCACAACCATCTATAATGAGATCTGGTGCCCTCTTCTGGTGTGCAGGTATACACGCAACACAACATATACATAATAAATAAATAAATCTTAAAATAAATACATATACCATTATGCCTGGCTATCATTACAAGCCGAAGGCTTTACTGAAATAATTTAAAACACACACACATAAATCAGTTAAGAAAAAGAAAGAAGATGTGAGATACACCTACTGTACAAGAGTAGTTATTAGAATAATATTATTGAAGTTTGGTAAAGTTATGACCTGTCATTATCTTATTTTTGTTATAAACACAGGATGACTGAAAGAGTTAATGTACAGAAGCTCATATGCCTTTGTTACCTTTTATTGTTTTCACGTTACTGTTATTTTGTTGAAAAATTTGAGTCAACTCACAGTAGAATTGAGTATCTGGGAAAGCCTTATTTTCTTTTGAGAAGACATTAGATTGCAACTAAAGTATTTTCACCTAATAGGTTTTTTGTTTGTTTGTTTTTTTCATGTGTGGCATGTGTGTGTATGTGTGTGTGTGGCGTGTGTATGTGTGTGTGGCATGTGTATGTGTGTGTGTGGCGTGTGTTATGGTAGATACAGAGTTTAAAATTTAGGAAAGGAAAAACAAACATGGAATGTATTAGGTGATTAGATGCATGTTCAAACCAATCTGTTTAAACTTTTAATTGAATGATAACACAAATGGCCAAAAGGAACTTTCTCTTTCAAGTGCTATTACAGATTTCACTGTGTTGTGGCATTTGTTAATAGCTATGCTAGAAACATCAAAACTTAGATTTTCACCTTATTTATTGTTCTTTTGAGACAGGGTTTCTCTGAGTAGCCCTGGCTTGAAACTTGTTCCGTAGATCAAGCTGGCCTTGAACTCAAATCTATCTATTTCTGCATCCTGAGTACTGTGATTAAATATGTACCCCACCACATCTGATTTAATACTTAGATTTTTAAAATGAAAAATTTTAACTAAAATTTGGGTTAATAGGTATTTGATATCTTTAAACATAGTTACTTACTTAATTAATTAAATATATTATTATTCAAGTCTTACCTTTAAAAAGTATTTGAAAGTTGAGTGTGGTGACACCCAAAATTCCCGAGGCAGGCAGATCTCTGGGTGCAAGGCCAATCTGATCCACATAGTAAGTTCTAGAACAGCCAGAGCTGTTCTAGAGTGATAACTTTCTGCCCATTCAAAAGTATTTGAAGACAGGCACAGTGGGTCTTGCCTATAAACCCAGGATTTCCCTGTAATTAGTGAGACTCAGGCAAAAGAATTGCTCTCTGCAAGAGGCTAGCCTAGGCTACATAGTTGAGATCCTGTCTAAAAAATAAAAGAGAGAGAGAGAGAAAAAAAAACAACAGTGTTTGTAACAATAGATCTAGTAATTGGAAGTATAGGTTATAATTATTTTCTCAAGAACACGATTAATTTCTTATGATTTATCTTGTAATATATATCTGACTAGATAGTTTTATCAAGAAGCATGGTATTATAGGTTAGGTAGATTGTTAAGTGGAAAAATTTAGATTCTTGAATTACAGTATAAAATTCAGTATTAAAAATTTAGCCAGGTATGGTGGTTCATGCATTCAATCTCATCACTTTAATCCCAGCACCTTAATTTTTATTTTTTATATTAATTATGGCTTATTCACTTTGCATCCCAGCTGTAGCCCCTCCCTCATTCCATCTCAATCCCACCCACCTTCTCTCATCTCCTCCCATGCCCCTTTCCAAGTTCAGTAACAGGTTAGGTTAGGTCAAGTCTTATCAGGACTGTCTGCACTGTCTTCCTCCATGGCCTAGTAAGGCTGCTCCTCCCTCAGGGGGAGGTGATCAAAGAGCCAGCCACTAAGTTCATGTCAGAGACAGCCCCTGTTCCCCTTACTAGGAAACCCCCTTGGATCCTGAGCTGCCATGGGCTGTATCTGTGCTGGGGTTCTAGATAATCTCCATGCATCTTTAAATTTAAAGCCAGCCTGGTCTACAAAGAGAATTTCAGGATGGCCAAGGCTGTTACACAGAGAAAGCTTGACTCAAGAAAACAAAAACAAGCAATATTTAAAGCTACATTCCTAAAATTGTGCTTGTTGTATCTGAATGCCCTTCTGTTTGTTTTGTTTGTTTTAAACCCAATGTCCCCTGATAGAAATAACATATAAGCTTATGGCAAATGGTTATCAACTTAGTGAGGTGATTTTGTAAAGACCAGTTTGCAGATGACTTCACATTAAAATATGTGCTTTTATTGTTTTTACTGAGTTATTAAGTTGCGGAAGAAGAAATGAAATAGGCGACTACTGTAGCACTGACTTGAGCTCTCTGATTTTAGGTTCTTCAGAAGATGATGAGGTCATTCAACCAGGTTTCATCAGCCCCAGGTTAGTCTTTTGTTTAATTTAATGTTTTACTTAACCCAAATGCCTTGAATGATCAGCGGAGGCATCTGAGAGGACTTGACTACCCTAAAGATTTTTCATATCCTACTATACTCCATCCAGGATATCCCATGTATAAAACTGCTGTTCCCACCACAGTTGTGTGGGTTCCATGTTCTACTTACTGCCACCTTCAGTTTGGCTGTGTTTGGTTTTGTGATTTTCTTTTTCATTGAGCAAGACAGATAAAAATACTTAAACACTTATGGAGACAAACCTATTGCTTATTCATCTCTGTGATTCCCAGTAAGTGCTAACAAATACTTGTTGAATTAAAGTACATATGGTAGTGTTTTCTGAGGACTTTCTGAGGATGTTTCAGCAAACTAACAGGATGTGTTGTTGACGTTGCTCTTCATGTATAGCTGTTAAAGTCTGCTCATTATCATGTTGTAAAACAGAGTTGTTTGAAGTTAAACCTACATTTAGACATGGAATTTTATTTATATTATTGATTTTTTTCCCAAATGTTCTTATTTGATAATATTATGTTACTGTGGCATTTGCTCCAAAGAGTTAAAAACTTGTCTGAGGTTAGTTGGTTTGTTTTTCTTGTCTTGTTTTTAAGAGAGGGTCTCACTATGTGGGTCTGCCTGGCCTGAAACTTACCTTGAAGATCAGGCTGACCTGGAACTCACAAAAATGTGCCGTTAATGCTTTGAGCGCTGGGATTGAATGTGTACTCCTCTATGCCTCACTGACTGAGTCTTGGATTAGTGTACATTTGAAAGCACTCCATAAGAGTTTTGGTCCACAAAATTTATAGTGATGCATAGTAAAATGATATTCTAATATTAAATTTACTAAAGAATTGTACAACCAGAGAAAGGCTCAGATATTTAATGGAGAAGCCATACCTGACACTGTCTTTTGGTAAGCACTGTTTTTGTGGAATAAAACCAGCATGTTGATGGTGCTCTTGTGAATTTCATGAAAAAGAACACTGTTAAAAGTTGCTCCAAAATGTTAATATATCACTTCCTTTCTTACTGTTGATTGCGGAGTTTTTCTGGAGGTAAACTGGCATTTTTAACCATTTTTCTGTTTGGAAAAAATGTTAACACCAGTGTGTTAAGTGACTGCAATAAAGTTTGTCTGTTTTCTCTTGGTGAAAAAGGGAGGTAGAGAAGAGAGCTACCAAAGAGAGGGTTTTTTTTGTTTTTTGTTTTTTTTTTTTTACCAAAGAGAGGTTTCCACAGGCTGGGCTTTACACAGAAAAAGGCTTTGAATGTCAGTGGGACCCCTCGCTTGATCAGGAGCTGGAGCCCCAGCAATGTGGTGTGAGTCACAGGAGGCTGCCAGTCAGGCTGGAGGTGGGACTGGAGCCCCAGCCTACAGATTTTAGCTGGAAGATTTTTTCCTTAGGATTTCCACTCTTCTCATCTTTCACTCCCCACCTTTCTCGAGCTTCCTATTTCTGCTATGCTCAGTAAACTCTTCAGAGTAAATATTGAAACAATCTTAAGAGGTAGACCATACTCTTTCAAGCTGATTATTTGCTTTTCTGAGATGAGGTTTTAAATAATTAACCTGTAAATGGTTTTAGGGGAAGGAGAATAAATTTGTGTACATTGTGTTTTTCATTCTAGAGGCTCAGACATTTCTATTTACTGTAAAATGATCTTTGAGTTATGAAGCATACACGTGTAAGTAATACAAGTGGAAAATAGTGCCTGTCATTTTTTCAAATTAAAGTTCTTTTGTGCTATTCTGAATAGTTATGTAAAAAAAAGCTTACTTATTACTAAGTGATTGCTTACAAAGTTACCATTTTAACTAAAAAAGTTGGCAAAAGTATTTGTCAAACAGCTTAGAAAATATGTGAGAAAAGTAATACTCAATTTTTATTTCCTTTTATTGCAAGACAAGTTTTATTATAGCGGAATTTTACTAGATATTCAAAATAACATTTTACAAATGATGGATTTAAATTAATGCCCCGTTTCTGAATTTTATTGTTCCAAATTTTGTTTTACTGAAAAAATACCTAACTTGAAATATAAAAGTGATTTGAGCGAAAAATTTAAGAATTATGGTAACAAGATCCTCTGTTTCCACAGTAGTCTCCAAGCAATATAGTTCAGAAAGCATTTTTTTTTTTTAAAGGAGATTTTTGACAACTCTGAATAACTCTAAGAAGAAAATTTGCTTGAAGCATTTTTGTCTCCCGGTTAAAAAAAAAAAAAAAATTGAAAAAGACAGGGATTTTGTTTTTGGAAACAAAACCAAAACGCCCTCCGCTTCTGGGGTCCCTCTGTTAACACACTCAGTGGGGGTCCCATTTTCTTTGACGCCCTGTTTTAATCCACCAGAGAGTTACTGCGAGTACTTGGCTGAAACGCATTGGGTGTGTGGAATCGGATCGGTTTCCCGACGCAGGTCGGTAGCCTCTGCCCAGGCTGCCCAGGAACAATCACGCGGGAACAGTCCGGGCTCCCCCAATCCACAGTCTCCTCCCGCCCTCCGCTTTCCAGATGCTCCTGAGAAAGGCGCTGCTGATGTGTTAGCTGCTTGCCAGGTTCCCAACTGCAGGCTCCGCAGCTTGCTCATTTTAATCATGAAGCATGGCCGGTAGGGGCCGGGGTAGTTACTTGCTGTGTTTGTCCTGAGCCTCCACTGGACCTTGCTTAGATTTAGAATCGCGTACATAAAGAGATCAGATTATAAATGAGATGCATAAATGCAGTGAAAAAGTTTAGTTTGAGGCTAATGTTTTGTCATAGTGGTGAAGATAGGGGTTTCTTTTTTTTTTTTTTTTTTAAAGAGCAAGATAACAAATGTTTAAAGTCCCTTAGTAATAGTTCAACAGCCTTATTTGGAATGACTGGATTTCTAGAGGGAATATGGTGGTAAGGGGTTAGGAGACAGAAAGGTGAGAAAATTTCTGGCAGAAAAGGAAAGGAAAGGGCAGGTATGCAACCCCTGTAGCAGACGCTGGGGACTTGGGGCCCTGGAGGCTCGGAGACCCCAAGGGCAGAAGCTGCACTGGAGAATGCTAGTTGCTGGGGTAGAGCTAGGGCTGCTGACCCCTGCTTACTTGCTGAGTGAGCCGGACAGGTCGGTTCTCAGCCGTGCCACAGCCCCGCATAGTTTTCACAAGAACCAAAGCACTGTTTCTGTTTCAGTAGATGTTACACACTGCTTCTAACAGTGAGCAAGGACGCAGCCTCTTGCAGTATGGCGTTGGAGAGAGGTTCATATGAGAAAACACAACCACCATTAAAAAACTGGGAAGCCTACCTAACCCTAACCGAAGGACATGCCATAGATTGCTTGTAATCCCCTCCCTCCTGGGCTGAGTTGAGGAGTCAGGTTAGGTCTTGAGCTAATTTTAAAGACATTTTGGAAGAGCTATGGTAAATCAATCTAGGAAACATTTGGCTATTGAAGGTTTAAAACATGCGTTTTAGTCGAACACAGGTCTTTCTGGCACTAAAACCAAGTAGGAAATGAGAAAAAAATTAAAACCAGAAGACTTGAGAAGGTGACAAACTGAAAAGCAGTGTGGGAGACTTGGAAGAAGCATTTTATGTGATAGAAGCACTCTGTGCCTTAGGAGCTCGTGGTCAGTTTATAAAAGGCTCAAAAGATAAAACGAACCTATTTAAAAGACAGTGCCATACCCTTGAGTTGATGAGATTGTGTGTCTCCTTCAACTCTCCCCTTCCCAGCTTCCTTCCTTCCTGTTTTTTTTTTTTCCTAGCCTTTCTTAACACTCTTTCCCTTTCTTTTCCCCACCCAAAGGTATGTAAATGATTGTGCCTTAAATTCTTTGTGAATGAATTTTAGAGGTTTTCTCAGGGTTCCCAGTTGGAAAAAGCCTTCTACATAACTTGAAAGGCTGATGTCCCTCTCAGGAAATGAATGAAATGATAACCTCTGACACCAGTGACCAGTCTGGTGAACCCTACCTTAATGCTTTGAATACTGGAGGCCCCTAATCAGGCACAACTGTGAATCCCATAACTGCACCGTCCATTGTGGTTTCAGCAGTGGTGTTCCTACATTACACATTCTTTAAGTATATCTGAAATTTGTTAGATTTAAGAAGTCAGGGACTCAGAATCCACTCACTGTGTGTTTGATTTTTACTAGTAAACTTTTACAAACAAATACAATCTTGTAGATACAATGTAATTCACCATAATCCAAAATTTACAGACCTGTTAATTTTGGAGACTTTTGCATAAATAAAGCATTGTCCCAATTTACATGAATACCTTTTCAGGTTACTTTATACTAGATTTTTAAGTAGTAAGTTTTCAAATTACAAAAAATAACTTTCAGAATTTTTGATTCTTTATAATGTATAATATAACAAGGGTGGTAGTAATCCATTTCTAATATTAAGATGCTGTTTAGTAAATGCTTAGTTAGCAAACAGCCTGTTCAGAATGTGGAACTTGTTACACTTGGAAAATCCTTTTTTCTCTCCACCAGCTGGCACATTGTTATCCTTCTCAAAAATAAATACAAGCTTGCCTCCTTCCTGAGAACAACAAAAGAAAGATGAAAAATCTTTCCAAAATGATCAGTTTTGATTGACACCATTTATCACAAACAGCTGAAAATAATTCATTTCTTTTTGCATTGATTATTTTCAAATCTGAGCCAGTTAGTTTAAATTTATTTTTGGTTTTTCAGGATGAGAAGGGGTGTAATAGGTGTACTGTGTGGATTTTTCTTAATCCTAACATTTTAGTTTGTGTGAAGCACTGTGTGGGCTTACTTGGAGATGGGGTGAGGGGTGTGCGGGGATGGTGGGGGAGGGTCAGCTGGTAGCTTTGAAGAAGGGAAGTGGTATCTACAGTTTTTCTGTAAACTACTTGTTTAAGAAAATGGGGGGATGGGTAGTGAGAGACTGGTGGAAGCCTTATAATGTTTCAAAACAGGTAATAGTTTATATTTTAAAGAGACAAAGCATTTCTAGTTATTATATAATGCTTTTTGAAATATTCGATGAGGTGGCTAATATTGTTATAAACACAAATCCAATTTGAAAAACAAAAAGTGTTTTGATGCAGGGGCCCAAAAGAAAGGGTTGGGAGGAGCCCATTCCGTTCTTACAGCCTTTGGCGGATCTGCTTGCTGCTGTAGACTATAGGATGTCCGGGTCCAGTTAGACTGCATTTACCTTCCTTCCATGTGCCCTCTCCCACCTCAGCAGGCTGCTTTTTCTCTCCACAGCCGCCTCTCCGGCATCGCTCTCCACCTCCTCCCGCCACTCCCCTCCCCCTCTGCCCGAGTCTCCTGCTCTTGGGGAACAATCACCGCTGATTGAGGTTCACTCTACATTAGGCTGGAAAACTGGGCTGTAATTTAGGAAGTCATTAATCACATCTCCTCCCCCGGAAAGAGATGGCGGAGAAAGAAACCTGTGAAGTACAATTTCTTACTATACCTCTCAAAAATGTTCTGATATGAGCAGTACTAGTTGATAGGAAATTAGTAGCGATTTAATTTATTTTAAATTAAAAAATTTCAGGTTGAAATTAGATATGCTTTTGCCTTTTGGTAGGTTTCTGTTACCAATATCTGAAGTTAATTGTTAAGTAATTAAGTTTAAATTTGTACTTGAGAATTACACATTGTCCTCCCAGAATTGAATATTAACGTCACTATGGTGGTTTGGTGCTATGGAATAGCAGAATGCCTATGGGGTGTGTGTGTGTGGGAATCAAAACGTCAGTTGATTTATTTAAATGGCTCCCCCTATGAGATTAGAGCAGGCGTGTGCACATAGACCGACTGTCGCGTTTCTAACCCAGTGATTCACAACGGCCCTTCGTGGTGTTTAAATAATACAAAACCAGTATTCTGATTGCTCAAAAAGAAATGTCCCAAATTGCCTTTAAGAGAACACGTTTGAGTTTTCCGTGTTCATTCATAAATTATTTTGATGTCAGCACAGATGAAATGGCGATTGGTCATCTCTTCCTCTTGCCAGCCCCTTAAGGATCCGAGGTGAAATTAGTAGCAAGAAAGCATGTAATTGACAAAGTCACGTGTGCTCAGGGGGCCAGAAACTGGAGAGAGAAGAGGAGAAAAAAAATCAAAAGAAGGAAAGCACATTAGACCATGCGAACTAAATTTGTGATCACGCAAAATCAAGATGTTAGACTGATGCCGAAGATCACTCCGGTCCAAAGGGAAAGTTTTCATCTCTCGAGTTTGAAGCTGAGGGCCGGTGGGGCAACATGGCCGAAGGTTAATTTTCTTTTCTATTGTTTTACTGTGATTTCTTTCCTCTTTTCTCCCCTGCTTCTCCCCAGTACGCAGTTTCTCCCCTTTTCTCGCCTTGTCTTCCTTTACCCTAATACTGGGCATTACCTCCCACCCCCTTAGAGTACCATGGGGGCTTTGGCAAAACCTATTGTTACAGATCTCCAAAATGTTTTGTACCGCCCACACTGATTCACAACTTGAAAAGCTTTCAGGGGGCTATTGTTTGAATTGTGTGGTGTGATTACGCACAGTTTCAGTTAGTGAGCCCAAGAAAACTTTTATACACCTGCCCCCTCCCCCATTCTACCCTAACTTTAATTGAAAGTTAGGGGGAGGGGAATACACATTGCAACTAACCCGGGATTCCCGTCTGCCACATGTGCGTTAACCAGAAATCCTAAGGATTTCTCTTTTCCTGCTTGCTAGACAACCGACTTGCTGAAAAATTATTCTTTGTAAACCGGAATAGTATTAAGTCAGCAATATGTGAGTGAAGGGTCACATGGTGCAACTGTAGAAGGTTACTGAGCAAAGGAGAAAGATGAAAAAGTATGCGGATGCACAGAGACGTGGACGCTGCTGTGAGCGATGCCGCAGTGGGGCTTCCCCTCCCCGCCTTTGCTTTTAACCCTTTTGTGTTTTAAATATTCTTTTAAGAAGAAAAACATTTACCAAGCTTTTGTTTACTACCTTCATTTTCTCTTTCCACAAGCAAAATTTTTTCTTTAGATGAGTAGAATATAGAAATGCAGACTAACCGACTCTTGTCCTGTTCGGTGTCAGGCGGGGCAGGCAAAGGTGAAGAGCCAGAAAAGCTGCCTGAGCCGGCAGAGGACGAGCCCCAGGTTCTGCACGGAACTGGCCACTGTAAATGGTTCAACGTTCGCATGGGATTTGGATTCATCTCCATGATAAATCGAGAGGGAAACCCCTTGGATATTCCAGTGGACGTATTTGTACACCAAGTAAGCCAGATTTTTTAATCCCCATTTTACTGGTTTTCATGTGTGCGAGTTAGTGTGTAGTTATGTTAATAGACATAGAAAAATCTCTCGTAAGTATATGGAAAGATGGGAATAGTCATTAAAGTCAGGTGACTGTCCTGTTTTTAGGGCACGTGCAGGACATGTTTTTCTAAATAAAAAAATGAAGTCTGCTATTTCACTGACTGGGCTTGGGTTGGTATTATTTAATAAACCTTTCCTTCATTTGACAATTAAATTGCATTGCAGTAATGTCCAGTATGATTGGCTTCGTAGTGCCTGTGCCTAATGAATGGATAGGAAGTTCGGGAAGAAACACTGGTGGATCTTTAAAGTTTTTAAAAGCCAAACAATTTGCTAGTCATAGGAAAGTATAAGTACGCTATGTATATATTTTTTAATACTTCTAATGACAGTACCACCTGTATTATTATTTTATCATTGTTTGTTGTGTAAGTCATTTGCAGGTTTATGTCAAAATAATTTGATGTAGAGTAAAATTAATAGAATATTGTTAATTAAGAGTGGATTTGAAGAAAATCCAGAGAAGACTCTTGGTAACCAAACCTTTAAAAACTGTTTCTTCTTAGGTCACTCATCAGGGATACTGTCTCTTTAAGAGACCGCATTTTTTTGTTTAAAAAAAAAAAGGCAGCCAAATGTTGCTGTTTAAAACCTAATAGTTGGTTATGTGGTAAATTTCTTCAATTGCTTAAATTGTATTACAGTTTTTAAAAAATTCTTAAATACCAAATGGAGGGTCATTGTTTTCCATTTTTAAAAATTTCCCCAGGAAACAATATTGCTTTTTTTTTTTTTTTTTTTTGTAAATCCCTTTCTATTAACTAATTGATTCAGGGTTAAAAGGAGTTTACAGTTTACAAGTAAAGGAAATAAAAATACTCTACTAAATTCATAGACATAATGAAGCTTGTGAAGAAAGAGCTGTATTTTGATTTACTATCTAAGTTAAAAGCAACTGAGTGAATTTGATATTGCATGTTGACTGGCATGGATCCATGTTTGAAATACTGACGTTTCTCTGCTAAGCTTGATACCGGGTTACTTGCTCTTGCTGACATTTCCACCCCATTCCCCAAGGAAGGTCCTTTTAAACTACATCCGTAACCAGGCGGAGCACAGGGAGCCACTGTTTTAATCTGCGTGGTCTGCTGCTTCACAGCTTCCTGATTTTGCTGTGTGGTTGGCATTTTTCTTTCCTAAAGGCCTGGCTGTCATTACTGTCCATTCACAGTGGAAGGATAAGCATATTCTGTGAAATGACACAATTTATAGCATAAATAGGTATACAGATATAGCCTACTAAGCTGGTGTTGCATGTTCTGGTATATTTTTTTAATTTCTTAGTTTGAATAACTAAAATTGATAAATCTGTTTTCTTGAGTTCTTGCTTCCCCTTTGAATGCTTTTTTAGGTTGTTAAATTGTTCTTTACGATGTCATAAATTTGTTTTATAGATGATAAATGAAAAATATAGCACTTTTTCTTTGTTTGATCACACCTTGTTATAATTTGGTTTTATTTGTTTGGGTTTTAAAATATATTTTAAAAATAAATAGAAATACATTAAAATCTTAGCCATCTTTTTATGAAGTGTTAGTGTCTAGACTTGTGCAGCATCCACATTACACTCTTTGTTAAGATAGATAACTAACATTTCTATGGAGAGTGATTAAAAATAGATTGCTGGGAAATGTCATGTATCTGTTGCAGTTTCTGTAGTGTAAACATTACTTTTTAATATTTCCCTATATATCTCTGCACATGTGAAAGGACGGTGGTTAAATGAAGGCTCTTAGCTTTTAAAATTGAGATTGACAAATAAATTATGCATTATGAGAGTTAATACACTGAAGCAAGCAGAATTCCTGCTGATTTTAGTCAAACAGTAAAAGTTAGATGGCTGTAAGTGAGATATTTAGGGGCCTGTGCACATCCCTGTACAATCAAGTTGTGGTTCAGAACTCTTTATAACATTTAATAACTTTTTAATCTAGCTATGAACTTTACCATAGAAGCATTTTAAAAAGACATGCTGCCAGGTGTTTTATGTTAAATTTCCTCCAGTATAATTTTAGACCAGTTTGCTATATAAGAATATGTATAAATCATAGTTAAGACATTTTAAATGCCCAGCTAGAGCAGTGTTTGAAGTATTTATGTGAAGTTGGTTTTTAACAATACTTTTTTATTTTGATGTGTCTATAGGTGATGTGTGTGTGGTCATATGTGTTGAGGTGCTCTAGTGGAAATTAGGGGATAACTTTGTAGAGATGGTTTCTTGTTCCACCTTGTAGGTGTTGAGCTCAGGTAACTCAGCTTGGGGGATGAGTGCTGGTCTGGTTCGTACCCAAAAGTACATGTGCTGTAGTATTCCAAGCACATTGTTAATGTTATGTATTTGAGGAATCAAAATAAATGATTTTAAAAAATAATTTTATTTTATATGCATTGTTATTTTGCCTGCATGTTTGTCTGTGAAAGTGTCAGATCTTGGAGTTCCAGAGAGTTGTAAGCTGCTATGTGGGTGCTGGGAATTGAGCCCAGGTCCTCTGCAAGAGCATTTAGTGTTCTTTACTACAGAGCCATCTCTCCAGCCCCCAAATAAATTTTATCCAGGGTCTTTAATGTTTAATTATGCCAAGGCACCCACAATTTTTTTTTTTCTCTTTTGGAGATAATTTTCTACAGAGAACTGCATATCCTCCTTATTTCATAGCAATCAAGTTTTTTTTTTTTTTTTTGATAGGCAGTTCTTTGCAGTAAATTTTTATGTAGCTGTGTGTAAATTAGTCATATTATTGTATTTCAAATCTGTTGGCATTAATGTAATTAAGCTTTCTTTAGTTCCTGTGATACCTCAGTCCTCAAGTTGGACATGTGCATAGGGTTGCCCTTCCCCATCTTTCGATGACATGGGATGAAGGGTGAGATCTGCCTGTCAGAAGATAGTGACCCTGAGTAGGAGAAAATGTCAGGCTTCAAGTGATTTCTACTGTTAACATATGATTTCAGTGGTCAGGTTTTTATGGCTAGAAAATCAACATATGTGCTCTGACCCGGCTAATGATGTTCAGAAATACACGTTTTATAAAAGATTAACAAAATATAACTGTTAGATTTGTGAATTTTGTCATATTTCCTTTCTTTAGCTTGCTGCATGCTAGGCAAGCATTCTGTTCCTGAGCTCTGTATGTCCCCATCTAATAAGACTTGCTCAAGAATCCAACGCAATGCACAAAGATGTGTTCCAATTGAAGTACAAGTATTCCTGGCTAAGGGTCTTACCAAGAAATTTCATCAGCTAGAATACAATTATTTTGTTAAATGCTAATAACTAACACTCCTTCAGTGTCTTTATATCAGTAAGTAAAAAAAAAAATTGTAGCCAAGATCAGATTGTAGGTAGAAGCATGTTTTAGTTTCGTGGACAGGGTCCCTGGCATTTTTTTTCTTTTTTCAAGAATAACAAGATTTTGATAAGAAATATAATGGAAGACTTAGAAAATTTGCATGGTAATTAAATAATTTGCCTTTTTTTTTTTTTTTTCGAGATAGGGTCTCTATTTGTAACAGATCCTTGGCTGTCCTGGACTCACTTTGTAGACTGAGCTGGCTTCAAACTCTCAGAAATCCACCTGCCTCTGCCTCCTGAGTTCTGGGATTAAAGGCATATGCTACCACGTCTGGTTTATGTAGGTTTTAATGTGATTTCCTAAGACTTTATCTCACTTAAAACAAGATTTTAGATATTACAGTTCTTCTGACCTCTTTGCAACATATTTGCCTGGTGCTGCTTTTTCACACTTTATTTGGGATTCTTTGGCATTGAATATGACATAAAACATTTTAATATAAACACCTTTGTCTTCCTCCCCCCAGACAGGGTTTCAGTAACAGTGTAACAGTCCTGATAATCCTGGAACTCAACCCACGGAGATCCACTTGTCTCTGTCTTCCAAAGTGCTGGGATCAAAGACATGCACCACCACCACCTGGCTGCATTTTTTCTTTTTAGCTGGAGATATGGCTCAGGAGGGTTTTGTTACTTGCAGAGAACCTGGGTTCTGTTATCAACAGCTCTTTGTAAGTCTAGTCCCAAGATCATCTGACACCCTTGCAAAAACACCCCTTGCCCCCAAGAAAAACCACCAACAAAAAAAAAAAAAAAAAAAACTCAAAACAAAACAAATAACAAATTTCTGGGCTGGAGAGAAAGCTCAGGAATGAAGAACACTGACTGCTCCAGAGGACCTTTCAGTTACTAGTATTTTTCTTTTATAGTCTTTATTTCTAATTTGTATTTTTGTCTTCACAGATAATACAAATATGTGAATTACAAAGGTTTTTATGTGTTTCATGTTCCTTTTATTACTTGGTGTAGAAAACCTCTTAAAGGATAATGGAAATAAAAGAATTTAAAGTAATTATGGCTGAGTATAGTGATGCATGCCTGAAATCTCAGTTCTAAGAAAGCAGAAGCAGGAACATCAGGAGTTTAATATCCCACAGCCAGCATGAGCTGTAGCCTGTTTAAAACAAACACGCAAACAGAAAAAAAAAATCATTGTAATGAATTTAAAATGTTATGAAATACTGTTAGATATTTAGAAATGGCCACTATTTAAAATACATGAAACCCTTAAGTATTGTGCCCAGGTTAGTACACATTTCTACATACTTTCAGTTTCTACAATATTGTAATGTTAAACTGCTGGAGAGAATGTTTGTGTGTTAAAAGAACTTGCTATTCTTGCAAAGTGTACAGGTTCAGTTATCAGTATCCATATGGAGCAGCTTACAGCATATCTTTAACTCCGGCTTCAGGGGAGCAGGCATTTGCTTTTAGCATTCTAGCCTTTGTGTGTGTGCACAAACACACAAATAAAAATAAAGAAACACATAAAAAAGCCAAAAAAGCATTGCAAAGAAATAAAAATCTCCATGCCTGGCATGGAAAT